TACATTAGATTTTAGATTTGATCATGCACTGTAAATCATGTTGACATTGTCAGACATTATTGTTTATGTGCTGACCTCACAAGCCACGCTGTGCTAATCCTACTGTCGTTGCTCTGAGACCCTTGCGTTGACCTTTAATCTTTCATGAGAGTGGAGACGCTGTTAGCAGCAAAGCTATCAACAGGTTTGTGGTACATTCAGGTGTCCTGACGCTGGTGTAGTTGTATATATAAAGTTAAAACCAATTTCTGACTCCTGACAGTAAATCTTTAGACCCTTTATTAATATCCTTAAATAAATAAGTCTCTCTACCTGTGCCCTGGTGATATAAATGCTCCACCTACTGCCTGGACGTGTAAATACATAAACAGACACAAACAAATGCATAGAGTACAACTGAAATGAGTCCTACAGGTTTCTTACTTACCACATAGCCAGTACCAAAAATAATAACATTACCATCAGACTCAGCAGTACTTTGTTTTTAGTGCTAAATAGCTAATGGCATGCTAACACATCAAATTAAGTTGGTGAACATGGTAAACATTATTTCTGCTAAACATCAATATGCTAGCATTGTCACTGTGAGCCATAGACAGATGGACAACGTGACAGCCCCGAAAAGCTCCCTGGTGGCTGGCTGCAGTATAGGTCATAAACCCCATCCCTTCCATGTTAGTAGATGGGACATGGGCCAAACTAAAAAAGTACACTTCACATACATTTTTCCCAAGTTTCTGTCATTTTAGGCAGTTCTTATCATGTTTATGTACAGTGTGTTAAAATTGTCTGATAAGTTTGGTTTTAATTATTTATTTGAAGGTATTAAAAGGGGGTTTCATGTCATCATTAAGAGTTGAGCCCTGCTTCAGGGTTCGAAATAAAGGGGAGCTATGGGGAGCTCGGCTCCCCTGAAAGAGACAGAAAGCCTCATTTGACATTCTCTCAAATGAACTTTAGCCTGGTGAAAAACAGGCTCAAGACTAGCCTATGTGTTGCAGTGGTGGAAGAAGTATTATGATCCTTTATGGAAATAACAGTGCTAATACTACACTGTGAAAATAGACTACTCCACGACACGTAATTCTGTCTGCATTTAAAACCTTATTTATGTAAAAGTACAAAAATATTATCAGCGAAATGTACTCAAGGTATCAAAAATAAAACTGTAGTAAAATAGTGTCTGTCAGTGTTTTACTATTATAATTATTTAAGGTTAATATTGCTGCAGCATTAATGTGTATGCTGCATTTTACTGCTGTAGATGTTTATGGTTGAGCTCATTTTCTTTAGATAGTTTAATCTACAGCAATGCTCCATACCGTATAATGTATTATACGTACATGTAATGTAATAATGGATAATTTTCTCGGACCATACAGGAAGATTTAAGAAGTTTATCAGAAAAATTCACATTCAAAACCACCAGATCTGGAGATGCATGGTTTTCACTGTTCATTAGTGTATAAAAAATGTGTAATCTCAAAAGTACCAAGGCTGTCCGAAAAATCGTAACATAAAATGGAAATACTCAAGTAAGCTACAAGTACCTCAAATTTGTACTTATTTACATTCCACCACTGAAGTGTCTTTCTTTTTCAATAATATGCTAATGAATGTGTGAAGGGACAGCACCATTTTATTCTGTAGTGAACACAATACAGCTGAAAGCAGAAAGAGATAGAGCAGCTATGTTGTATAGAAACATCAGAGCTGTGAGTGTATATGTGTGTGAGACAAAGAGACAGAGAGATATAGATAGATGGATAGAGAGAAAGATGGGAGTCTATGTTTTATTTATCTCTGGTTAAGTGCCAGTAAGAGCTGAAGTAAAACTGCTGGATGAAACCATTTTACTGGAACAGACTGTCCTGTAATCCTCAGTCTGTTACCTACAACATGGATGGACTCGTTTTATTACTGTTAAATGAAAAGAGATAACTCATATAACAAGCATTTTAACAATGTTTTTGTGATTTAGTAAATGTAATATTATTAAAATGGCTGTAATCAATCCAAGGAATTCTAATAAAATGTCTCTCACTTTAAATTTAACTCACAAATTTAGCTATTTAGATAATTATTGTTTCCTTTTGATTGCACTGTTTTCAATTTTCACATATAAGGGTGAAAAATAAATAATTTGTTTGGAATTAACTTGCATTGCAGGTTAAACTGAAAGATTAGTTTTTTAGTGTTGACTGATTAACTGATATGTATTTTGGTCTTTGAATTAAAATGAATAATTACAAAAACAAATAAAAGTGAAACAAGTACTTGAAGTGTCACAGTATAGACTGAATCCAAAATCACTCTGTGAACCTGGCTTTTTCGGTCAGTCTGTTGCTGCCCTCTGCTGCCTGTGTCCTGATCATTTCAACCAAATAGAAATGGTGGCCAAGCAACAAGTTCCTTTATGCCACTAAGGTTTCGTCTTTAAAGGTGTGTGTAACGTCTGTCCATTCAATGAAGTGAAGACTAAAAGTCAGATAATAATAATAATAAGAAAGGCAATTAATGCAGCTCTTTTGTCCTTAAAAGTTAAATGCTATCTTGATGGTTAAAGTTTGACTTTTAAAATGTAAGATGAAGAGAGATCAATTGTATTGTTACTCCACAAAAATCACAAGAAGAGCAACTTTGATGGAGCTGGTCACCTGCCAACCTGCTGCATCTACTCAGACTATTTAAATTGAACCCTCACGCTGCTATAACATGAAGCTCTTTTTC